GGCCTTCAGTTCTCTAGGCAGCAAAATAACCCAAACATATAATAATGCCATGTCTGCTTTAATTGGCTTTGAAAAAATGACCTATGAGTTAAAAAACAGGCAAGCTGCAGGAAGAATTTAAATTTAGGCAGATCACCCATACCAGTGAATGGCAGTGAAAGAAAGGTGGTTGTGTGTGATGAGCTTGATGCAGTTCCACACCAGGAGCCATCAGCAGCCACACACCTGCAAGGCTCAGCTGCTTGTAGTTAAGCTTGAGCTCAACAAGTGCTGAAAACTACTGGCAGGTACTGGTGGTACTGGTGTTTGTCCTCTCCTTCAAGACATTTCTTATCTCATACTTTGTGCCCAGACTGTGCGTGATCGTGCTGCCAAGCAGCAAGGGACAGGGGAAGTGCCATGTGCTGCAAGAGCAGAAGAAGGGAGATAGGTGAAAGCACTGCAGAAGAGCGACCTTCTAAATTGCTTCCAGATGTGCAGGTCTCTTCTGTCTGCTTCATTGTTTGATAGCAGGGAGGAGACCAGCTTACCTGTCTGCAGACAACTAGAGACATCATCATGATGGCCTTTACAAAAGATGGAGGTCTGGTTTTCCTCCTACCTACAGTATGGGTGCCACTCCAGTGTCTCTCATCTCCAGGGCACAGGAGAAGCTACTCTGGAGAGGGGTAAGCAGACGCTGCTCCATCTGGCCTGCGTAATGGGGATTCTTACTGCTGCGTCACTTGTGTATTTTTCCTCCCAGATAGCACACCCGTGGTCAGGGCTCTGGGTCAGGGCAGAGCATGGCTGACTGCCCTGCAGGATTCAGCTCGATTGCTGAGCACAGGACTTGGAAAATGGGGAGAACAAAGTTAAATAGGAGGTGAAACTGATGTTTCCATTAACTGCAGAGAGGCCTTGCACTTAGAGAAATGTGACAGGCCTGCACGGCGTCTGAGGATGATTGTAATACCTCTGATGTTTGCTTTGTGTGTTTGGATTGCGAGCTCTTTGGCCCAAGGACTGTGTCTCATCATGTATTTACACAGATCCCAGCACAGTGGGTCACTGGTCTCAGTAGGGGCCTCCAATCTCAAGTGATAATAATGAACTGGCTTTCTTCTAAGTGTTATTTACCCAAACAATACTGTGTTCCATTGTGCAGAATTGTTTTTATTAATTTTTTTTTTTCAGTTCAAATGGAATAAAAACATTGTCCACCCAAATACTGAGGAACAATATGAGTTCTCATCTCCTACCGGGAAATAAAAATTCAAGAGTTTCAAATACCAGTGCCTCCTGCCCCCTTTACTCACTTTGAGGACTTATGTCTGATGATAAAATGCTTTAAATCCATTTTAAACCTTGTCTGGGCTGGCATTCCTTGTCTGGATCTTAGCAACACAACAAAGCTTGCTATGAAAGTCTCTTAGAGAGGCAACCCCCAGTTCATGTAGTTGATACTTATGTGAAGAAGCCCAATTTATTTGTATAACAGCTGCTCGAATGCACATTTGCAGAATCTATCCCAGCATCTTTTAAAACATGTGATTTAACTTTAAAGCTGAAGAAGTCTTTGGGAAGAGTGCAAATGAACCTGTTCTTTTGAACTGAAAGATACATTTTATTTGAGGAAAAAAAAAACAGAAGACAACCCAGAATCTCTCCACTAAACTCATTTTATTGGAAGCAGAGGGTTTTTTTTCCATGCACTTGTATGTGAAAGGTCTGTATATTTTCTTCTGTTCTGCTGAACAGCATTATTAGAAGTTGATTGCGCATGTAGCGATGTGCAAGATCGCTCTGTCTTTAGTATGGTGAGATGCTAGGAAAGGCATTTTGGGTCTTATCTGATTGTTTTGCAAAGCACACAAACAGAGTTACTCCCAATCCAAACTACATGATGAAAAGTGAATGTTTCTACTTTAAAAATGTAGATCAGCAATGATGTCTTCAGCATGAAACCGCCCGATGTAGCCAAGGCATAATTTTATTATCCCAGATGAAAGACAAATATGACCTCATTGTGTTTTGTATGAAAACCATTATTTTGAGTCTGTCTGGTTCCTGCAAGCTTGCTGAGCTGTGTTATTTGGTAATGTTTGGCATATGATGACTTTTTTCTGAGGCTGATGTGCAGAAAGAAAGAAAATAAGGCCAGGTTGGAGCTGCCATCTATTTCCATGGTTTTATTCTTGCCCTTTGAGTTCTTTGTCAGACAGTTGCAGTCTGCTTCAGTACAACTCGAGTTGTTTTGTGTGAGTGCATCCCAGCTACAGTGTCAGTTCTCTTCCAGAGTGCTAAAAGATGTAGGTTGTGTTTAAAGGCTAGAAAGGTCTGGCCTTAGCTGCTGGGATGCTGGCTTTTCCTTCTTTGATCTATTATAAGAGGTGATATTCTTTAAATCAGTTATCTTAATGAGAGCAAACTAGCCAGCACTGACAACAGAGCCTTTTCTTAGGCAGATCTGCACACGTGTGCGAGCAGCCCCCGACACATCCCTCTGTGGGGGGGTTGCCTGGGCCTAAAACAGCCCAGGCAAGGAGCTTTGGCACTGCAAGAGTCTGGTGCAGGTTTATACGCCCTGCTACGAAGGTGCATTAATTCCCTGCGGGAACTGGGCCGCAGGGGACGGGGCTGATGCCCCACCAGCTCGGTGCAGCCATGGGCCCCGCTACTCTCTGCAGGATGGGCATATGCCAGGCAGCCGGGTGCCTGGCCCTGAGCTCTCGGAGGGGCTGCTAAGGATTAAACATCTCTTCATCTTCACAGCCGGCTCCCCACTAGGGTTGTGGGAACTGGAGTTTTCAGCAAGGGTGAAACGTTAATAATGCCACGTTCACTTCCATTTTGGGGTGAAAACAGAAAATAGAAGTGAAACAGATGAAGCCCACAGATTTAGGGGAAAAAATAATTTCTAAATTGCAACTTCATTGTTCTGATAATTCCATAAATAACATCTTTTTCAAGGCTGATGTTTACTTTTGGTATTTTAGAATGGAATTGTCATGTTTGCCTCCTTAGTTCGGAAATCCTTGGAGTTTTTTTCTATTTTTTTTTTATTCATTCTTATTGGAAACATTAGTAATGAAGTAGGAAAACTCTGTTTTCATCTACTTTCAGTGTTTTCCAAATAGAAAATATAAGATCAGAATTACAAGACAGTGACTTGAAAGGCAAACTCCCCTGCAAGCACACTCCCTTTTTCTTCACTGTTCTGTTTCCTTGTTTACTGTAAAAAAGAAGTGAAAAATATATTTCCCTAACCTACACTTTCTTGATCTTCACTGAAAAGGAGGGATAAAGAAAGAAAAACGAGTGCACAAATGGTTTCCAAAAATAGTTACATTAAATGCAAAGTGTAAGATCCATTTTTAATCCAGTGATGTCTAGTTTTCCATAATACTCGTGGAAACGCCCATATTTTTAAAAGCATCTATTCTTTTGATTTACCTGTTACTTCCAGTTGAAGTTTTTTAAGTAGCTCTACTTGAGTCAGTTGAGTGAAGAGCCTCCAGAAGAAGAGAGAGAAGAAGAAAAAAAAAAAAAAAGTATATGCACTTAATGAGCAACAAAGTTAGTGATCTGTAGCAATTACCCAAGTGAGTAATTTTGTTTCATTAATGCACCCTAAAGCTCCAAGCTGTTTTGTCAATGGGCACTGCAGGGCCGTTGCAGTGCTCAAAGAGACAGTTATGTTACCAACCATGGTGTAAGGGATAGGTTTACCAAAAAAGAGGGAGAGAGAAAGTAGCTTAGCATAAGAAGCAAATTAAAGACCATCTATTATTGTCACGGAAGCCAATGACAATACTTGTAAAGACGCTAGCGGAGCAGGGTCACACATCAGGTTTTTCTGGCTTTTCCAACTTCCAGTTTCTTGTTGACTGTGGTGTTTTAAAGGGGCATCTTGATGCACGTAGGATCTCAATTTGAAAGGGGAAGGAGGGCATGTAGCTGGCTTCCTTGAATCCTTCTCAGAGGAAAGTAGAAAAGCAGACAGCAGAAATGAAGGCAAAGCTGCACTATAACTTTTAGGTATCTCTGGATCACTCGATACGGGACACACACGCAGCATATGATATATTAAGGTGAAGTATTGAATATCCATAAAGGAGTACTAGCAAATGGTGTCAATTTTCAAACACTTTGCTTTGTCAGCTTCACAAATTTAAAATCAATCATCAAAAAGTCTCTCTATAAATCAGCTGAAGAGACATAAAACCTTATGGTTATCTCCCCGACAAAAAAGTCGAAGTTAAAGATGAGTTTATAAAGACTCAAACTGGTAGAATTCTGTAGTGCTAAAAACTGGGGTCATCCAACCTCTCAGTTTAGAAATAAATGCTGAGGAAAAACAATGACACCCAGTGCACTGCTAATAAATACATCTTGGAGGACAGCTGAACATGCAGAAAAGTAGATTTCACAGAGAGGCTTATTTTCAGCACGATTGCCATTTTCTCACTGCATTATCATAAACATGAGAGAAAAAAAAGCTATAAATAAAAAATTCTTGGGCAGTCCTTGGAGACTTGTCAAAAATATGTAGGTTTTGTATGCTGCAGTGTAAAAGTATTCATTAAAATTAATTTTTAAAATGCCCTGTCCAATATTAGTTGCCTGATGTCCTTCCTTTGATCATAAATTATAAATGAACTGGCAAAAAATGAAGAAACCATGATTCCATTAATGAATTATTTAAGTGTGATTGTTAGTTTTTGCAATCATTGGGCTAATAAGCTCAGGCTTGTGGCACTGAAGTGTTTCTCATTTGAGGGCGACAATGATGGTAATGTTATTAACACCGTTATCAGTGTGTCCCGTGAAGCACAAGTTCCTCTGGTGGCTACATGGTGGCATGGCCGCTGGAGCTTTCATCGGGTCTGTACTGCAGGAGAGGGAGTTGACACTGAGGAAAGTTGGTATAAACGGGGTTCGCTGGGTGGCTTCCTGCAAGATAACACTTCAAAAAAAGACAAGCAGCATACTGACACGAGAGGATCTTCTCCCCGCAGCAGCCTGACGGTGCCAGCAGCACACACAACCGGCTTGGCCCATTCCAGCGGCGGCTCCGGGAGCTCCAGCGAGTCCGAGAGCAGTTCTGAGTCTGACTCCGACAGCGAGAGCAGCTCCAGTGACAGCGAGTGCAACGAGGAGTCGCGTAGTGCCACGCCAGAGGTAAAGCCACACTCTCAGCTCCTCACCAGTGGGGGCTTGGAGGGGGAAGCATGGAAGGGAGTGAAACCCTGCTCTCTGTTAGGAAAATGTTGGAGTTCTGTGCTGTTTGATGCTGTCAACTTTTTTCTTCCTTTAGTTTTACATGTATGACCCACATATTCATTCTAGCTTTTGGAAGAATCCTTCTGGCCTACATTTGAATTGCTTTAAAGAAATATTTAGATTTTTGCCAGTAGCTAGAGAAGATTTTATTGACACAGCATTCAGCTGGGACTAAGGAAAGGCAACATGACAAAACTATGTCTTCAGGGACCAGCTAAACTTTTTAGTTGTATTAAATTTCTCCAGGGCCACATTGTAAACCAGATAAGGAAACCTAATTAACCATAAATACTCCATAAATACTCCCATAAAACTAGCAGTCACCACTAGTTGACTGAAATAAAAGGGTACGTTAAAAACATTCTCATTTAAAGGGAAAAGCTTTGCTTCTGTCTGAGACTTGTTCCTTGTCGTTCTTCAAACTGCAGCCTGAACCTCCTTCAACAAACAAATGGCAGCTGGATAAATGGCTAAATAAAGTGAACCCCCACAACAAGACCATCATCAACAATCAAAATGAGCCTCACAGCGAGACCAGCTCCCAGGCCCAGAGCAACCAGCAGGCCGAAGGGCCAAACAAAGGGAAGCTCAACAGCAGCCTGCCCCCGACCGATTCCAAAGACAGGGCGATCCTTAGTCCCATTCGAGAGAAAGCCAAACCGCGGGTTGCCCAGAAAACCCCAGAGGCAAAAAGCTCCAAGCAGAAGTCACCAGCTCATAATGAGCCAACTTCACAAAGGACTACTGGGAAAAAGCAACCCAAAAAGGTAGAAAGGACTTCCAGTGTAGAAGAGTATAACTGGCCCAAACCAAATAATACCAGCAACACTCCCAAAGAAAAAGACACACAGGAACCCCCCGAGCAGCCAAAGGTTCGAACTAAAGCAGCAGTTGGGAAGACTGCTCCAAGGAAAGAACCACGAACTAGCACAGGTCTCACTTCAGAGAAGAAAAAGTACAGAGGCCCCAGCAAAATTGTTCCCAAGTCCCGGGAATTCATTGAAACGGATTCATCTACTTCTGACTCAAATACAGACCAGGAGGAGAGCTTGCAGGCAAAGGTATTGCCAGCTTGCACTGGGTCTGGCAATGGCATCAAAGTGAAGGACTCTGGCAGTAACATCCTCAGCGTAAGTAGTTTAACTAGCAATGGCAGCAACACATCCATTGACCAGACCAGCAATGACTTGGAGGAGCAGCTCTTTTCTCCTATCCCAGTCGTACAAAATGAACTTCTGTCCCCACTGAGAGAATATGAGGAACTCAAATCTCTGTGGGTGAAAATAGACCTTAGTTTACTCTCTAGGATACCTGGACAAGAGCCTTTTGAGACCACGTCTGTGAAAAGTGAATCAAGAGAGGCAAATGTGAAACACAGACGACCATCTCGAGAGTCCCCTACCCCAGCAGCTGAAAAACCATCCACAAAATCCAAAAGGAAACACAAGGTAAGTCATTGTCATCGTTCAGAGGAAAACGCTGAATTTCTATACTGTAAGGAAGCATCATAACACTAAAGCTTTATTGGTTTTACAAAGGACATACGTTTACAAGTGCATTACAAATTAACATTAGAAACTAGTAAAAACCAAACTCCAGCTGACAAAATCAATGAACAATGTATTTTTTTGAGATTTGTCTTACAAGCTTTTTCACTGTATTTGCTCGCTTACCTGTTTATTTCCAGTGTTCTGTAACCTGCAGAAAGATTCCCAATGATGAGTTCGTATTGCCACGGGTTCAGCCATACTCAGAAAATGTGGCTTCTGTTTGGAAGGCAGGGGTTTATTGTCTGCAGAATTAAGACACTTTCACCACTGGCTTAAACAGGCATAGCTTCATTAACGTCAGTGGAATGGTGCTTGCTTATGCTCCTGGTGAATTTAGTCTTTATACTGTTTTGTTGTATAAACAAATGTGATTCATCGAAATATCATTTGCTTAACTAGCTGCTTTCTCTACACAGCTACCTGAAAAAGCAAATATATTTTGACTTAAGGCATTATGTTTTATCATGTGTTTTATGTTATTTATGCCCAAGGGTACCCTATCTTGTGGGATGTGACAGTGCACTTCAAACTGAATGTGCTTTCAGAAAAGAAACTGAAGTTTTATATCATAAATGAATTTTTGTAGTCAGTTTTTCCAGCTGAAATGGTTGTGCTCTGGTGTGTATTTTCTTTATACCCCAAATTTTATAAATCATTGTGAATGTGACTTCAGCTCTCTGTTCTAACAGACTTGCTGAAATCCTGAGTTTGAGCAGTCCGGTGGCATGAGAGAGTTAATACAAGACCAAGACAAACAATGCCAGGCAGACACAGGGTCTGCACCCCTGCCTACATGAGTCACTGCACTGGCTCCTTCCCTGTTGAATTAAGTGGAAATAATCACATGAGTAAACTCAGCAGGTTTTTATTCAATTTATATTCTAGCTGTACACTAAAGGCAGAGATGTAAGAAGGGAGGAGAAAAGAAGAGAGGAAAGGGATGTATAAATGTTCATGCTTGTGTGTATGCATAAGTACACCAGGGTGTATATTAATTATACAAAAAACCTTCTTGCTAGGTAACTTCACTGGAGTGTCAGTATGATGGAGGAGGTATTTGGGTAAAGCATGAGTATAGTATTGGCAACTAAACTGAGGGCTCCTGGGGGGGGGGGGGGGGGTGTTTTTGAAAGTTGGAACCTCATAATTTCATTAGCTAGGGCTGAATCAGAAAGTAACAAAATGAGGAATCTCACTCTGGGAGTGTACAGACTAAGCTATGCTCTGAAACACCCATTCAGTAGCTATATGATTGTTCACTGCTACCCAAGGGGAAACATACCAATTAGGATGACTTGAGGGTGTATCAGCAGGTAAAACAGGGTAGGGAGACCCTGATTTGTGTTTCTAAATCATGCTATTAAAAGGTTTATTTTAGCCATCTACTGGTGGGCTTGAAGGCTGATAGGAAGGTTCCAGTGAACAAGCAGTAATCAGCTTTACTTGTATCATCCTAGTTCAGGCACAAAAGTCATGCATCAGGGAATCTTTCAAAGCAAATTTTAAACGAGCTATCACTGTTAATGACTACCCCAGCTCAGGCCTGTAGTCTTTTAGTCCTGTGAGGAATACTTACTCAGGGAAGTTCTCCCATCAACTGCCATTAAGTCAATGAGTAAAAGCTATTTACTTGAGTAAGATTTGGTGTAATCAAGTCATTCCATCTGAATTATTAATTAAATTCCAGTGCACTACAGAAGATAACTATAGCACATGAGGCGTTTTGCTTCCTAATTATCTAGCTATGTCACTTGTTATATAACTTCATGTCATGTGTTTGGTGCACGTTTAGCCCTGATTTCAGGTGACTTTCACTTCTTTTAGACCAGTATTTTAGCTGCTGCTACTGTAAAGGAAATATGCTGAGATTCCGGAGCTCCTCTTAATGGCAAGTGAAATGGTGCGTAGATGCTGCATCTTTCAAGCTCTACCTTTTTTTGTTAAAGCAGACAGAAAGCCTGGATACCTTTGTTGAAAGCAAGAAGCAGCGCCTGGAGGACCCTTCAGCTTCATGCCTGCTCCCACCTTGTATCTCTCCGATACCGAATCACAGATTAACCAGCACTAAAGAGTAAGTTGTTTTGGTTGTTTTTTTTTTCCCCACATAACACTCACAAGGGATTTCATGGTACTGTTCTACAAATGTCTTTGCTGTAGAGCCAGATGGGCTTTCCAGCCCATAAGTGTAAGTGACCTGGCATTGCTATTCCCATCCATCAGGAAGAGGATCCACATGGTTTTGGATGAGATTCTTTCAACCTTCGGATGGACTACAGGAATTCAGAGTGCCACCACAATCCTGGTGTACTCTTATACCCCCATACTGCATCCTTTCAATGTTCTTTCTTGCCCCCATCATCCTTAACCTCTATGGCCAGAGAATTCTACTAGAAATGGGCTTTATTTGATTGCCTGGAATTTATTTTTTTAAATCATTTTCATAAGAGAGAGTCCTCAGTTTTATTGAACGAAATAGTGACTTTGCCATTCACTTCAGCGGCTCTTACTCTTTAACTGTGTACACGGCAATGCTGGGATGACCATCCTAAATGTTTCAGACATACACGCTTTGTGTTTCAGCAAACATAGTCAAATAGTTTGTGCCTTTCAGAGTGTCTTTGAGAGATGGCTATAATGCTTGAGCAAACAGGCGCCACGTAAATAATGATTCTGATTAGTATAATCACAAGATTAACATTCTATAAATAACCAAAGAGTCCAATTCCCTTCTGTCATCAATTCTGTGCTTTTACGATTTTGAGATGAGGCATTTCTTTCTGCTTCGCACTAGGACAAGCAAAGAATGAAACCCACAATGTGCTTCTGAAAACAGTTTGATTTTAGTAGTATTTAAATTTAGATAAAGTTCAAAGATCATTTATGAAATAGCATACAAATTTTAAAATCCATAAAGAAGGTTGAGCATCATTTTATTTATAGTGGTGCAATTAGGCAGTAACTTCAGTCCTTGAGCTAACCCCTCATTCTACCACTGGGAAAATCAGAGTTGGAGTCTGGAAAAGGCAGATGAATTGAAAGTTACGATGTGATATGTAACATGTTGCACATTTGATAAACATCATGATGGGTGTTGCCTGATTGTCATTGCTAGAAATACAGTGAGCGGAGATACATTGCAGAGGGAATCAAGGATTATCCATCCCCAACACCTCCACAATCCATTAAAAAAAATATCTTTCTATTCTTGTCGCCAGCAAGCCCTAAGGATCCACCCCCAACCTGATGTTTCTTAATTTGAGCTTGTTTTCCAGGTCATTAATTTGATTCCTCGGAGCTTTCAAGCCCTTGGTATTCTCTGCTAAAATGTAATTGTGTCCATCAATAGTTATTTCCATATGCTAGCTTTTCCTCTCATCTGCCTCGAGTTTTGAAACAAAATTTTCTGACTTCTTTTCCAAAGCAGTGATTGAGACCTGGGTCATACTGCATTTGTTATTAGCATCTTCTGAGTTCACCTGAACCAAATGCAATATTGTTTGATAATTCAGGTCTTCAACTCCCAGAGATGTGCAACTGAATATAGATCAATGTATTTCCCAGAAGATTACAAAGCTGGATGAACTGTGTGACGACAAATTTCTGGAGAGCCCCAGATTGTTTTTAAGCAGTCAGGAATAGTTCTGTTCTCCGGAGGGTTAAGTAGAGTTTTAAGGGGAGGCAGAAGAAAGCGGAAGCTGAAAGTACACTGTTCAAGGGCATGGGGGAAAGTAACACTTCAGTGGTAAAAGGTTAAAGGTGGGCTTTGCCATTTGCTCCCTTATTCCCAGAAGTTCTATGGTATGTTTTTTTCAGAACTCCTAAGTGTCTACATGAGGACTTTGAGAAAGGAGGGATTTTCAGCTACAGGTGTGATGATGATGTTCATCCATTAAGAAGGTGTTACGTCCCATGGTGGATGTTCTCCCACTTGGGAGGAACCTTAGGTCTCTCCTGATAAAGCTTGAACCCTGTGCTAACAAGCTAAATTCCCCAAGGCATACTTCAGAGGCTTTCATTGGGCTTTTTTGTAGATACAAGAATGTTTTGACAGAAAGACTGTGATCTCTGGACCAAAATTTGGAGGCATTCAGGAGTCTGGAGGAATTAGTGAAAGATAGGGCACACCTGTGCTTTTGCAGCTCCCAGTGGCTGCCTATGGTT